TATAGTCGCAGCACCACTCTGGAGTCCCCCAGTGCTTTCCCCTCACTGTTGGACTTCAGGTATGTGCTCCCTTTGAATATATGAGTGCTTTCCCCTCACTGTTGGACTTCAGTTCGCTGTTTTAACACGTTTCTCTCCTGGTTGGACAGGGATATTACCATGACGAAGGGTTGCAGACGGAATGAGCACCAGGGACCCAGCCGGAAACTCCAAAATGAGCTTCAAATCTTTTAAGACAAGATGACCCCCCTTTGTTGGATCAAATTGACCCAGTGCTTGATCCGAACGGAAGGTTCTTGTCTAGGTGAGTTTTTGTTGCCACCCGGGGGCCAAAATTGAAGGTGGCGGCAGACCAGATGCTTGTCTTGAAGTTTGGTTGAAGATTGGGGAACCGTTGACATAGCTTCAGGCTATTTTCTTGGTAGTGTTGATAGGTTCTAGGGGCGTAGAGTTTGAAAGATCCTGTGGAGAAGAGTTAGTTCAAGTTTCCAGCAAGAGACAAACTCTCGGACGTACTATCGGCAAAGTTTGCAAGTCTGATGACGTTTTCGGATCTTCTAGCAGCTGGCGTACGAGCTCCCCTCGACGAGTGGTGAGGTTGAAATTGTGAGGCAGTGCGTTACCGTTGCCCTGAGATACCCCGCAGGTCAATGAAGGGTAGCGGCCCCGCCGCTGATGTTCCAGCTCGCTCCATGGCTTTGTATGCCCCCGATGGCCTTCCAATGGCGACAGCAAATACCCGCTGGGCGTCTTCATCTGCAAACGCAAGAGTGTCCCTGATCCTCACAGCATAGAAGTTAGGAAACAGAGCCCTACGTGAACAAAGGGAACGCGTGCTCACCGACCATTCCACTTCTGCAATCTGTAGCCCTTAGCCAGGAGAGCATCGAGTTCGAGCCTCTCAGCTTTGGTGGCCTCCTGTGACAGCGCTTCGTATCCAGTTGAAGTTGCTGGTAGCCCTGACAGACCGCTCTCGCCCAACGGTACGTCGAGCACGGCTGCATCCTGGACACGCAGTTGAGCGCATGGTTTAGGCACCTTCCCCGCTATTACCCAATCCTCCCGCAGCTTCTTTTCCCTCTGTCGACGGCACCTAGTGTTGTATTTTGCCCTTGGCGAGATTGCGGGGGGGTTGAATGGCTGAGAGGGCGCCGCACGAAGAGATTGCCTTGCGGCGTTTGGAGCCGACCCAACCCTTCGCCGTTTTGAGATGGAGGAACCCTTTGGCAAAGGGCTTGCGCCAGTTTCAAGGTCAATCTTGCGCTTTCCTGAGGCGATAGAAGGCTGTGTCTAAATCAGCGCCCATGACCAATGCTTGAGTGAAAACTTGCCGATTCTGCATAAATAATATCATCTGGCGCACGGAACGGTGTTGAACAATTGCAGCGAGTCAAAAATAGAAGTCTTGCGCACCGTTGCTGCTGGCTTTCCTGCTCCCTTCGGAATCCCATTCAACCGTGTCGCCTTCCATGTGAACGTCGTCGATCCACGAGGCATCCGCACGCTCTTGTCCCCCAGATTTGACGTTCAAGACTCCCTGTTTGCGGAAAAGGTTGCTGGGCTTGTTCTGCCTGTCTTCTTGAAGGCACGAATTGCGGAGAAGCGACGCTAGGTCAAAATCGGCAGGCATTGGGATGACCTTATCATAGGGCGAGAACCGACAGCTGGAACGGGTATTCGAGAGCTAGATGGAGAGATCAGCATCTAAGTACGCAATAGGTGGGTCCCCTCATCTGGATCGCGGGACGGGAAAGTGGTGTACTGACGGTACAGCCCAAACTCGTCAGGTTCAGTCTCGTAAAACTGAGGTTCGGGAGTTGGGGAGCACAGCCCTTCTGTGGTCTGCGATGATTCAGGCGCTGAGGGAGATGGTGCCTGACTCAGAGGGTTGTTCTGTACGCCGGAAAGTGTAACCAGGCTGGTGGGAGGTGGCAACACATCCACGACAGGTTGAGGAATACGTTGTCGTCGGGTTGACCGTCGCGGTCCTGGCTGATCACGCCAGTCAGTGATGGGAGGTGAGGGCGATGGTGGTTGTGGGGGTGTAGGATCCCTGTAGGGCTCCTCAGGGTGCTCAGGGACTTCCGGAATGGGCCCAGTCACTGCACTCGATGGACCAGGATTGTGATGATCATCTCCTAGGAGACCCTAGGCAAGAAATTAGCAAACATTTGCGACAGAAATAGTATAAATTGTACCTGTGCTTCAATTTCCTTGCGCTTCTGTGCCCGCTTCTCCGCTGTCCTCTCCTGAAACGAGTGGAGATTTTTTGAGCCTGGTGCTTTGAGCCTGGTGCACGATCGGAGATGGTGGGTGAGTCCGGTTTTTGTACCGCTGAACTTGCAGAATTTTGCTGGGCATTTGAAAGACATAAAGACAAAGACGATAAGAAAAAAATAAAGGACTTTCATTGTAGAACTTGACTAGAGGGACATAGTGGTGAGAAGGTACAAGACCAATGCAAGGCTCAAGCGCGACCCAGAACAGGCATCAGCACGCGAGCGCGAAGTTCCCGCGGTGCCTCGCGCGCCGAAATCTCCAAGTCCGTTTGAGACTCCGACACACGTGACAGGCGCGTTGCTCAATTTGGGGCTCGAGCTCCTATAAAGCTCAACCCACCCTTTCCTCCTCCCCATTCCTTCCTTTCCCCCTCCCCCTCTCTTCTCTCCTTCCCTAAACAATGTCCGCTGCTGCTGGTGACGACAATCGTGCATCCTCCGCAGATCCTGAAGACGACAACCCCTCTTCGGAGCTCGCCGACGCACTGGAAAGAGGCAAAATGTATGTGATCTCGGGGCTAATAGTAGATATATGCGCTTACCTTTTCTGCTCTAGTGACAAGGACGGGCCCCTTGAGCGGTTTCGACGCGCCGCTCGGTTTGTTGTTCGCCACAGCAACCCATTCGTCCACTTCACGCCGGTTCTCGAGCAAGGCCTCCGCGAGGATGGGTTATGTGAGGCCGACGAAGAGGAGGAGGATGATGAGGAGGATGAAGAGCTCGATGAAGCGGCACGCGAGCGGTGAGTTTATATCATTCAATCCTCTTTTTTGTGATCCTGACAGACATGTAGGATCCTGTCGTGAATAGCTGGTATGGCCCCTATTTTCATTTTCATCTTATCTTATCTGTATCCGCATCTTATCTTTCCTGTTACCCCTATCTCTTATTTTTATTCTCGTCTATGGACTCTTTCTCTCATGGAACACTGCCCCGTTTTGCCCTTTACCCTGCTTCTATTGTTCTTATTGTTACGCACTGCCTTGTATTGCCTTTCGACTCATTCTGACGTCTTTTTACTTCATTATTGTTTCATTCTTGTTCTTCGCGCAGCCTTGTGACTATCTTTTATTGTTCTTCTGTCTTTCACCATTTGCTCGTCATCTCGACTCATCGTGGCTATGTAAGTGGTAGAATAGGTATATAAGCTAGGTAGTTCGCTCTGTA